ACATGGCATTGAGTCACCTCTGATCTATGGTGGCCTTATGAATCAGTGGCTTCCAAAATGTCCAGTCATTCACAGCCTTGCTCAGTTCTTGCAAACTCAAGGCTGTGGCTTCCTCTATTAAGGAAAACCACCTCACCTTGCAAACTCAAGGCTGTGGCTTCTTCTATTGAGAAAAACCATCTCACATTTGGTCTTCCTCTTCTCCTGCTCCCTTCAACTTTTCCTAGCATTATTGTCTTTTCTACCAGGTTTTTTAAACCCCTTATTTATCCTATCTACAAATAGCACCTTCCTTTTCTCTTTATGGAACTATGGAGTAGGAAGGATGGTTCTCCTAGCTCCTCACCCCCCAGCAAAGTAGGGTTTTTTTGGGGGGGAGGGGGAAACCACAACTGGCCCAGCAATGTTTTGTGACAATTAAAGCCCACCCACCCCAATTGTTGAGGCTCCCAAAGTCTTCTCTAAGCCAAAGGGAGCCCTGGGTAGCCTTGGAGTTATTTTAATTAGTATAGCTTAAACTAATTAGATTAGATTCATTTAAAGGAAATATTTCCAACACCAAATCCCATTTATGCCAGGATTTTGGCCATTGTCTTTTTGACCAATGGATTGATTGATCTCAGATTCCACCTGTGTCCATGAACTACACAGATGCAAGTTCAGGTGGTCATGTAGTTGTTCTAGCATGCATCATCATCATGCACCATCAGCAGCACCTTCCTAGCCCTCCTGAGCATCCCCTGGATTCATGAAGAAACTCTACACCCAATGGACAAATTTATGATTGAAGTTGGTGTTGATTTTTCTACTTTCACCTAAAGTAAAGCTGAACCTGCTCTGTGAAACATGAGTGTTTGTGTGCTAGTGTGAATGTGTGTGTCTGTAAGAGGCAGAGATCCACTCATTCTCTAGGTAACAAAAAGCTAACCTTGGGTTATCTCTTTATGTCTTTATATACCAACCTGGCTGTTTTCCTGCTAATATGAGTTATTGTGTGCTCTCAAGTCAATTCTGACTTATGGCGATCCTTTTCAGGTAGGGAGTCCTCAAAAATGATTTTACCCTTCCCTTCCTCCAGGGGGTGCCCTAGGATGGTGCAGGTTGCCCAAGGCTGCCCAGGCTGGCTCTTCCGGAATGCACAGGGAAGAGCTGAACTCCCAGCTTCAGCTTCTGCAGCCAGAGGCCTAAACCACTCCGCTATCCACCAGCAACATCCATTAAAGGAAGCTGATTCTCACTGATGCTTAATGAATCGGGTTTATCAATTCTAAATGTTTCATGTTCCCTTTTTGAATGTCAGAAGCAACCGTATAATCGATTGACAGATATTTATTTACACTATCCAGGGCAGCTCATCCGTAAAGTCATGTGGGAGTCCACCCCCACTTTGAGCTCAACCTAACCACTCCTGCCTACAAAAGGCTCCTGTCTGTCATGTACATATGAAAACTTACCTGCCTTGGTGTGGGTTTGTGTGTGTGTGAGAGAGAGAGAGAGAGAGAGAGAGAGTGAGAGAGAGAGAGAATTAAAATAATATTTTTCCCCCAAGGTATGGATATATACTGTAGGAATAAGGGGATTCTAATTTGCTTCCTCCCTCCCTCCCTTGGCAGTCCTCCTTAGTGAATAACTGTGTGAGAGAGAGAGAGATTGAGAGAGATAGAAAATTAAAATAATATTTTCCCCCAAGGTATGGATATATAGGAATAAGGGGATTCTAATTTGCTTCCCTCCTCCCTCCCTTGGCAGTCCTCCCTAGTGAATAAACCTAACAGGGATGGACCACAAAGGGGAGGTAGCTGAGTGAGTGAAACCAAAAGATGATGGCCAAAATCCTATTGCGTGCCTTGCATGCCACTGCAGGTGGACCACAAAGGGGAGGTAGCTGAGTGAAACAAAAGATGATGGCCAAAATCCTCTTGTGTGTCTTGCATACACAGGAGGCCCATTGAATCAGTGGAGATTTGGTGAGTCAGCTCCTCCATACTGTACCTTCCATTGGGTCTAACAAGCCTACTCTAGTTGTGACTTATTTTAGCTTAGTAAGTTGCAACTCAAGTAGGCCTCTTTGCATCAATAACACTTAAGAAGGGGTTGACTTACCAAATCCCCACCGATTCAACAGGTCTATTGTACTGGGATTTGCTAGTCTAAGCAACAGGGTTGCGGCCATAATGTGACTCATGAGCTTTCTTGGTCCGTTCCCCTTATTCGTGGATTGTGAACACGTCATGCGCATCCCCTTCTTGTCTCCCTTCTAAGGGGGAGACCCAAAGGGCAGTCAATTATCAATCTCTCCAAAGGGGGCCCTCAAGAGGAGACCAAGGTTTCTTCATAAATCCAACCAGAAGAACTCAAGAGAAATGCCTCATCCGAATTTTAGCCCTGTGTTTGTGAAGCGAAATTTGCTTTCAATCAGAAGCATCTTTAGATGAGGAATGTCCAACAGACACACAGCAGCCAGATATAATACACAGCGGGTGTCATTTTGCTGTTTGGATTTGGTCAGTACCGATGGCGAGGAATTTCCATCAATGCCTTTAAAAATAATTTTTAAAATAACATTTAGTCAGATTCTTTAGCAAGATTCTTCAGATACAGTATGTTGCAGAGTTTTGAATTTTGGATTATATTCCTCTTGCTGCACACCGGAAAGGCAGGATTCACAGCAGAACAGCTTCAACCTCCCCAGGTTAGGTCACCCTTTTACTCATCAACCGGCACTTACAGTCTCAGTAACTCACTCTAGGACATTAATAGGAAAAAGAATAAAGCATGTTTCTTTACTTACGGTTGGAGATCTACAGAAACACTGGCAAACATGGCTGCCTGAAGCAACTGGACTCAACAGACTACTACTTCCAACCAACAGATTGTGGGGAGGGGGAAGCAGAGAGGTGGTGCTCTCTTTGAATTGGTTAGTGCTGGAGAGATTGACAGTCGCCCCAGTCCAGAAAGGTCCCTCCCATCCACACCCACTACAAACAGCATGCGAGGTTGCACATACTCCAACAGATTCTTCGTATGAAAATGCTGTACAACTAGAGGTCTACTTGCTGAGCTTTCCTGGGCAGACGTTGTTAAGCCGTCCTTGCTCCTCCATGTCATGCGGGCTTCAAAATAATGTGAGGCAAGTTTCCCTCAGAAAACTTGCGAGAAAGGTTTCCTTCTCTTTCGACATCTTCTGAGTCTCAAGGTATCATGTGAACACACGGTGGATGAAGGAGACATCTTTAAATCTGCGGCTTGTCGTTGCCGGTTTGAAAGGCACGGGACTCCATGGGCTCCTGACTTAAGAAGGTTAAAGAGCAACCATCTCATTAATCTGGAGAGAATCGCCAGTGTGATCAGGAGCTATTTGTCCATCAGGGTGGGTACCAGAAAATCTGCATCAAGACTCCCAATGTTTAAGAAGGCCTAAGGCAGTTTCCTCTTGACGTTGGTCGAAAGTTTGGGATAATGAAGCCAGGAGTTTCGGACACAACCGGTTTAAACCGTTTTCAATGTTGTTCCTTCTTGGTAAGGACAAGCTTACATGCTTGAGAATACTGCTACCACTCCACTGGACAAAGCTTATAATGTGTTGCCCTTTTTGTCTCATTCCTCATCATGAATCACCATGAAGGGGTTTATCATTATTATTATTAATGAGGGGAGATAGGATAGCAGTCCTCAAAGACTTGAAAGGTCATCCTACAGAGGAGGGGCAGGATCTGTTCTCGGTCATCCCGGAGTGCAGGACACAATAATCATAATGGGCTCAAGCGATAGAAAGGCAGATTTAGGCAGAATATCAGGGAGGAAAAAACTTCTTAACTGTTAGAGAAGTACGACAGTGGATCCCATGGGTTCAGGAGGTGATGAGCACTCCAACGCTAGAGGCATTCCAAGGAACATTGGTCAACCTTCTGTCAGGTCTGCTTTGCCTTGAGCATTAAGCGGATGGTTGGACCCGATGGCTTTACAGGCCCCTTCCGACTCAGCGATTCTAGGATTTTATGCTCCTATTCATTCTGATGTTGAAAAAAAAATCTTTGCTTTATTTTATGAGATTAGCCATGATTTCTAAGTATATATTTCTAATACTGGGTAGTTTCGGGAGGCGCCGGGAAACAAGGGAACACATTTCTTGCTACACCAACCAAGGGGCTTGACAACCGCTCACAAATGTTACTTCTGAAATATAACATCATTCCGCCCTTGCTCATATATTTATAAATCCGCGATTTGTGACCTGTGAGTGAATTACTTTGGGCTTTTGGCCAGGGACAATCTAATCTCTCCCAGTAAGCCTCTCACGAGAATCCAGCGAAGAAATTTCTCTAGCGCTGGATGCCAGCATGTCTTCCTTCCCCAAAAATTCTTGCATTCCAAGAACAATTCTCTCTTCTTAATAGCTCAGCCGATGATGATGATGATGATGATGATTATTCTGCCAAAGGTCCAATCATGAATTGAAATTATCCAGATTGACCAGTCTTGGCCATTATTCCCAGCTTCTTTAGGTGCTCTTGAGGCGAATCTATGGTTCTTGTTGGGAAGTCTGGGCACCAGCAGTTTCTTTAAATAGAAAAAGTATGTTATTACATGAGCAGCCTGTTTACTGGGAGCGTTTTTCCCTCTCTTTCCCCCTCCAAGTGACAAAGCAGGGAAGGGAGTGATGGATGGCCCTCTTGTTTGTTTGTTTGTTTCCAACATCTCCGGGAGGTTGTGGTAGTCGGGCATCTCACACAACAACAGATTGATCGACAGAAGGGCTTGATCGACAGGAGGGAGAAAAAAAAGAGCATCCATTAGCATGTGGGAGAGAACTCAGCAGACATTGTGATGGCTTTTCCGCCCATCTCTTTCTATTCGTTTCCTCCTTCTACTGCGAGCAGTTTAAGAGCGTGCATCTGAAGAAGCTCTTCTCCCTCCCTCCCTCCCTCCCTCTCTGGTGCTCCCACCCTTTCCATCTTTCCTCCTCCTCCTCCTGAGTCTCATTTGCTCTAAGAAAGCAACCGGGCAAGGCTGAGAGAGAGAAGAAGTTTTGGCATGGCCTGGGGGAGATGGAGAGACCTCAGGTTGGAAGCGCCAGGGGACCGCCAGGCCAGCATCTGCTCCCGAGCATTGCCATGTTCTGAAGCTGTTGAGAAGCCAACCAGCCCAGTGGTATCGAGGGTGCTTGAAAGGACCTCCGTTGGCTTCACTGCATTTTAGCACTTGCTGACTGGACTCTCGGCAACCCCTTTGAAGAGAAATAGAGAAATCCTAAGTTGCAGGAAGACGGCTATTGGGGGAAGGGGGGGAAAGGGACATTTTCTGATCAATCTCCTTCTTGCAGAAGATTTTTCTTTCCAGTACAAGAGAGAGGACAAGTTTTGCATGAAAAAGTTCCCCAAATCCTTCCTGATCATCAGAGCTCAACCTGAAGGCACTAGACATGGAGAAGGAGGTTGGGAAATCCATGGATACTCAGATGGATAAATACATGTAATTATTTCCAAGGTCCTTGTATGCTCCGTTTTCTTCTCTTTTGCTCTGCTTCTCTGGCTTTGTCTTTATCATTTCCTTGTCTTCTGCTTCCTGGATTTTTATAACCACTCTTTCCCTCTTAAAGGGGGGGAAAAACACAGGCATAAAGTTAATATTTTTTGTCCCCTTCTCCTGTAGAGTGACTATAATGGGGAAGTCAGAAAGCCAAATGGATATTGTCGAAAAATCAAACAAAACTGGGCAGAAGTCCTGGAGCTTGGTAGCTGTCTGTCTGTCTGTGCTGCTAGTCCTCATGACCTGTGCTCTGGTGACCCTTGTGGTACTGTATTCAAAGAGCAAAGGTAAGCAAACCAGAACTCTCTTATGTTTATGAATTTGGCTTTATCACATACAGGACTCTGTTTTAAAATGTTGTCATTTCTTCTCTCCCGGGACAGTTCAAAAGAGCAGCTGTCCCTATGGAGTTGTTTATTATCATCTTTTTAAAAAAGAAGATATGTGTCAAATCACCTTTATAACATGTAGATTTTGCATTCGGGGGGAGGTTGAACCATGTTTTGAAAGCAATAATAGGGGAAGAAAGATCATAATTGTAATCAAAGAGTTTATTGATGCTGTTTCACAATAGATGTCAGCTCAGTGACCAAATCAACCCAAGAAGAAGTCACACATGCAACAGGTTATCTGTTGGGTTCAAACACAGAATAGTACTAATAGTAATGTGCCGTCAAGTCCATTCTGACTCATGGTGACTCTTTGCAGAGTTTTCCAGTTAGAGAAGACTCAGAAGTGGTTGACCCTTCCCTTCTTCTGGGGAGGGATCCCCGGGACTGTGCAGTTTGCCCAAGGCTACACAGGCTGGGTCTTCTCCCTGGAGGCACAGTGGGGAATCAAACTCCCAACCTCAGAGTCCTAACTCACGGAGCAAAACAGCCAGATTCTAGTACCCCTGATGGAGTTTGCCAGTTGACTCAAAGTCATCAGCAATCACTTTATTCCAGGGATCTCAAATCTCCCAATTCCCAAGGTGATCCTGTAGCTTAGACGGGCAAAATGACATCATCCATGCACACACACCAGCCTTAAGAAGGCTAAGGACAACCTCAGATTTTATAAAAAATTAACACACACAGAGACTTGTAGAAAGAAAAACTTAAGGGGAGTTCAAAACCAGCACAGCAAAGAAGAATATAAAAGAATGAAATGAGGGCTGATGGTTGATGCGAGGAAGGGAACAGATCAGAGGCAGCTGATGCACTGGAATAGGGGTGCCTTACTCCCAGATATCTGGGGAGAGTGATCCCACTCTCTTATTCATGAGTTGTCTATGCAGTAGAGTATTTCAAGGTATTCTTACTGTCCTATTTTGCTCTGGGTGCCAACTGGTTCTTTGCCTCCCCCCCCAATGCTTTATGTGAAGTTCCCCCCCCCCAGTGTAAACAATTTTGAGCTTAGGTGCCATGTTTCCTTATTAGAATTTATCCCATCTTAGATCCACAAAAACCTACTGCAGAAGCGCAGAGAGGCCACTGAGAA